ACTTGGAAGATCATTAACATACGGTATAAAAATTAAAGGACCTAGGAAGAAACCTTGAGGTAATCCACTAAGTACTGGTCTCTAGATGGAGCACTTTGAATTTATTCTTACTTTCTGTCTACGACCTATTAGGAAATCCTTAATTCATTTTAAAAGAGGTCCGGCAATACCAAGGTTTTCCAACTTCAATCGCAGTCTATCAGTTGACACCTTGTCGAAAGCCTTACTGAAGTCTATGTAGACGAAATTCACTGAGTTTCCGTAGTCTAGCGCTTTTATTCAAAATTTCTTTGCTATAAGAAGGTTTGTTGTGGGAGATAGACTCTTTATAAAACCATGTTGTTCTATGTTTAGCAAGTTATTGATTTCCATAAATGCCATTATGGTCCGTTTGATTATTCTTTCCAATATTTTAGCTACAACACTGGTGAGGCCTACAGGTATGTAGTTCGATGCAAGTTGTCTTGGTTCTGTTTTATGTATGGGAGAGACGATTGCGCCTTTCCAGTCCATCGGTAACACACCTTGGTCAAGTGACATATTGAATGTGACAGTAAGTGGAGCCGCGATACATTGTGATATATTGCTTATTTGTTTCTATATCTTCATTGAATGAATTGATATATCTCACGCATCTTCACACTACAATCTTTGTATGTCAATAGTGTGAACTAGCACTTAAATGTGTCAAGTTCGATGTTTTCTGTGGCAAGAAGATAATTAATTTACAGATATTGTTCGCTACATTGGACCAATTACATTTACTGAAGGTATTTGGCTTCGTATTGGATTGTGTAAGCCACGTGGACTTCACGATGGATGTGTTGCTGGAAAAAGTTATTTCAAATGTCGTCCTGATCATAGTCTATAAGTTCGACCAGCTTGTGTATTTTATCATGGTATAAATGCTGTAAATCTTCTTCCACCTGCATCAGCCGAATTAGAACCTCAACTGCCTGTTAAAATTCAAGTGTCAGCAAACAGTTGTAGTAGAGGTAGAAGTAGAGTATCTGCAGCAATGTCAATTATCTCTGATAATGAACAGGCTTCAAAGATTTTATCATATAATCAATTACAGTGGAGGAAAAACATTTCATTTTGAAAAAAAGTACTGGCATTTCGCAGCAACGTTTTTTTGTATCCTTAGTATAGACCTCACAAATATGAAATCAATCATAATTATCCTATTGCAATACACTCCGTTTTTCTTTGTTAATAGTATCCACCCTGTTTATACTTTTTGTTTTCCAATATTCGGTTTTTGTATTAGAACAGTATCAAACTCTTCTGAAGGAGAAGCGACACAAATTTGCCAAATTTTATTGATTTAAAATGTTCCCCCTGATAAATAAACAATCTCCTAATGAGCATCTCTTTGAACTAGTAACATTTAATGATTATGTTCTGTTAAATATTGAAACTAAAAAGACTAATTTCCTTGAAGCTTTTACGGTTAATATTAATTTGATTTGTTTGTTTAATTTTCCCTTATTCCTTCTATTTTAACCTGATATTTTTCACTGTTTCACATGATATCCTTGTTGCTGTTGTTGGTAGTAGTATTAGTTCTTCACTACTAGTTGTATTGCTCATTAATTTTTGAGAGGCGAATTCAGCACATTCCTACGTTTTTTTCAAATCTTAGAAATACCTGAAACTTTTCCTTTTTTCGGATATCAAAATGGACTACTTGACCATAATATAAGTAGTATTTGTTTATCCGACAAAATGATATGGATTTTGTATGAATATAATTTGATATTCTTCTGATTTCTTTTGTTTAAAAAAACTGTGAATTCCACTTTGAATTATTCATTATTTGCTTGTGTTTAACTTTTAACTGTGAGCTGATAGTCTGTTGAAATTGAATTCCTGTCATGGGGAATAACATAACTTAATTTAACTCTATTGAATAACCAGTCATCATTAAAAATGTGTTTTGTTTAAGAAAAAGTATTTACACTGTAACGATTCCAACGGTTCATTACTTCTTGTATGCATCAAAGATAGATTTGTGACACACTCAATCATCACGAAAAGCATCGCTTTGTTGGTCATTATTCTGGAGTTTTATTTTTGTAAACGTAATTTTATTCAGACGCCGTTTGAAATAAATCATCAATAGGTAACTGTTTTATAGTGTAAGGGTCCATGTGGTTGGGTTGAAGGCTTACAAATACGTTTTAACGTAAAAGGTACAAATTTTGACTGAGAATTTCGTTGCTCAGCTATCGGCTATCCAATGTCACTGAATCAAACTATTTCAACAAAGTTTTTTTTTTTCATTCACCTCAATTTGATGAAACTATCTCCACGTAAGATGTGAATTGTGTAGATGTAAACATGGTGATCAATCTCTACGGAAAGTATTCCATTGAATTAAACAATGAAGCTAAACATCGTCTTCATTCATCAATAACAAAACCGTTAGGGATGTTTAATCATAAGTGCTAGCTTAAATTGTATTGTTACTTATGAAAATGTTTACATGTCTTGTCTCTATTATAATTGTGAATTACAGTATCCAAAACATGACATTGCTTTGATTTATGCTAAAAACACAGATTTTATGAGTAAAACAATAATGAGATTACCATGAACCAAGTGACTTATTTAAGATTTTGTAATTAAGATCAATATTAACCGTTATGTGCATAAATCAAAGTTTCTTGAAATGTGCAGATATTTTCAAATCCAATTGCCAATTTTAACTTTTAGTTGATAATGGAAAGAAAAATTAGAAACCATAACCCTTTTAACCCGGTTTACCGTACATGAAATTCCCATAGTTATTCCATTCTCCGAAAATTATTCAACACTGTTCTATGACTTGGTCTACAAAAATAAACACCCAAGGAAAAGTTTAATCAGAACATCGAAGCTACTTATGAGAATGATTCAGTAGGACATTCAGTTATTATTAAAAAAAGGAAAATAACTTACATCACTATCTTGTGTTGAAGAAGTGTTCAGAGGATTGATGTTATTCAGAGTCATTCCTGTTGTCGATGGAATTGGTTAAGTTAGATTTGCTTCAGTTAAACTTTTTCATGAAAGCAAAGAATTGAAAAAGCTACTTAATACGGCTTCCTTGTCCGATGTTGTTTAGAATTACGGTCTATTCTGATATTAGCACTGCTCTAATAGTAGACCTAATCCTATAATTGTAGATTTATCTTGATGTAACTGCCTAATCTATAAGATCTTACGTGGAAGTTACAGCATCGTCTACACCAACTCATTGCATTGTGACAATTACCAATACGTGATAGAGAACAAGCTTAGGCTAGAGATAGAATATATTTTATATGAATAGAAGATACAAGATAACATTCAGCTGGGACCACGCCTGCGAGGCCGAGCCATGCCATCCGATGAACTCGGACTAATTCAATTTACTATTCCCGCCTTCTCCATTCTTCTGTATTTCTCCGCGTTAAATGTTTAATGTCTATTTCTCATAATGTCTCGTGGTAGGGCCCAAAGCCACTACAGTTGTACCAGGTTTAGGTTGATTAGGCAGATTGGATGAGAGACTCTCAGTCAATAACTAAAAAAGGAATAATTGTGAGTATGTGCTTGTTGAAATCTTTGTGTATTACTGAAATCGTGAACCGATCGATACCAGACACCATTTAAAACTAAGAAACACTGGATGGCCATTTCATGCAATTATCGTACTCCCCGACTATGCGCGTCAACGATACCGATATTGCGCGACCATCTTCCATTGTCTTGATTGAGTAACTGCCTCACCACTGACACATGTGAATTACACTGGTCACGGCTTCTCACTAGAACTCTGCGTGTTCTCTCTCGAACATGATAATTGTCAGTACAGTGTTGAAGAGATTGACGAGTTTCACCGTTGCTGTGCCAGTTGAGTGGTCTAAATTTTAAGCGTCCGCTGTCAATACCGATTGTCCTGGGTTCTATTCCTTCTTGTGTGATCGTCGATTCGCACTACTGAGAAGTCCCATGCTGGAACAAAACGGCCGTTTATTGATTCCAGGTTTTGAATGGTAGTCTAACATTAGTCAGCTTATTATTTCAGTGAAAATAAGAATAGTAGGATGATTTATGAAGGTAATAAGAATAAAACAACAATAAGATCTGTTTGATTAGCTTCATAGACACGCTCTTATGGCATTAAATCAATCTTGAGGGTTTTTTGCTAAATAATTCTAATAACCGAATATTTTTATACAATAGAATTTAGTAGTTAAAATGTTATTGTAGCATACTGGAGTTTCTTTTGTTTGATTACTGATTGTTGAACTAATCGATGTCGTTGTACCACTTAAACTACCTGGTAATGTACTTGTAACTGTCGACATAGGCATATTAGCTAACATTGTTTGCATTCGTTTTAAAAAGTGTTGATCATCTTCAACTGTTTGTAAAATATTAACTTCCTCTGAAGGATTGGTATCTATTCCACATGTTTTTGAAGCTGCATGAAAAAAATGTCACGTCGTTAAAATTCGTTTAAATTTAAATAATTGTTTATGTAATAAGATACCTCTGAATTGCCTTCTAACTGTTTGACATACGAGTATAAGCGTAAAGATATCTCCAGTTGCTAAGCGTCTATGTATATCCTGATGTTATGTAGTTTAAGGTAGTTGATATGAGTTTCTGGATTGAGATGTCGTATTACTTGGTACTTATCGGCAAGATATGTCTATAATCTCGAACGAACTAAAATTCCCATCTGGATTCGAACATGTGATACCGACAAGTGATGCCCTGAACGACTGGGATATTTTACATCGAATGATCTTGAAGTGGTGACCAATCTTATGTCGACCTGTCCAAGGGTTTTTTATATTTTACGAATGGCTAAGTAACTTCGTGTTATAACGTGTGACCCGCCTATTAGAGAGCAGCCTATTATCGATCGAAACAGTGACGCATAAAATACGAGCGAGCAGCCTACAGCTTTGATTGGTCCTGCATCCCTGTCTAGCCCAGCCAATTGAGTCCAGAACACAAGTCTCAGCCTCGGAGATATGAATCATTATATTTCAAACATACTCTGTTTATATAGCGATCAAACAGACTACATCGTACCATAAAATAGAAAATAACATTTGTACAAGATTTAATATTCAGGAAATGACACAAATAAATATTGACCAATAAGGAGATCACACGTTGGAAGAATGTTGACCAATGGGGAAATGACACTACTTCTCATTCAGGAATAGCATTAGATAATTTCTGGGGTATTTTCTGAATACCCCAACACCTCCCCTTCTTTGAAGATCCGAACCTGATATCCGGAATATAAGTTCCTCGGGTCCATCCTCCCCCACGAAACAATGTTGGGTCCTCATATACCCAAAATACAATTGATCTGACTTTAATTAAAATATATTTCTTCGTAACCCAGACCTCATAATGTCAATCATTATATATCCTTCCAATTTGAAACAGAGTAAACTACTGACTTTCAATAAAACATAAAAAGGTTTTCACATGTGTTCTAGTGCCTTAGAATTACTTCACAGGATTTTAAGACCTAAAAGACTAATCGGTTGAATTTGTTGTTTCCTTAGATGTTAGTGTATCTATGAAACATCATACCTTCAAATTTGTTACTGAATAACCCACTTAAACTTCAAAAACGAACTCATAGTCCGAAGGTTTCTCATACTCTAACAGCTTTCCGACATATTCTCTATAGTTTTCAGTCGTACTCTAACTACTGTTTGATCCAGAATTGAGACTAATCACTTTGAAGTGGCTTAGCAATTATGAAGATTATAGAGGTAATCGATCTGGATACCATCTATGATAAAGTATCAATTACATGATGAATGAATACAGAATGAAATAGAACATACCACATGATGTTTTTCTTCTTAATTTCGATGGTTTTGTAATAATCTGATTATAATTACAATCAATTAAATTGGATGATAAATTCTTTTTGAATAATTCCAATCGATGTAAACTATCCCAACCAGCCGGTCTTTATTTATCAAAGAAATTGTAAAATAGAATAGTAACATGTGAATGAATCAGTGTTGCTTTATAAGGGGGAAAAGAACAGAACTAATGAGATATATTATATCATAAATAATCAAATTGAATTATCCTATTGTAAATAAACAAGATTGAATTTCGATCAATCTTTTTCGGTAATATACAAATTCTACATGGACTGATTCATTATAACTATTATGTAATCCAACATGTCCAATTCATCCCAAGTAATGCATGCCTGTTTAATGTATCTGAACATATATTGCTGTTGTTTACATTGGGACTGGAACATAGAACATTTTACTTCAAACTTTTTCAAATAATAATATAAACATCATATCACTCCAACAAGCTAATGACTATTTGGGCGTTTTAGACGAAATCTACTGGCTCTTAGTTTCAATATGAACATTAAGACAAGGATCCACATGAATGAAGCTGACGAATCTCAGTTTCCCCAAACATTCATAGATAATTTTAAAAGAGCTGAATACGCTTGTTGACGTGAATAATATGTTCAATCATATATAATAACAAACACCAGTATCGATTTTAACATTACATAACAGTAAGTGTTTCCGATCAGCTCTCCAGATGTTTGTATATCTTCACTTACGTCTTTAAAAATAAGTTTCCATTAGTTAAAGAATTATTTTCAGAAGCATGTTTGTATAAAATAACCATAAATCAGTTACATTACCTGTTATCCACATACATAATTCAAATCAGCTTAATTAACATACCCAAACACACAGAGACTCGAACCCATTATCATTCATTTCAAAATGCAATGCGTTATCTACTGAGATTATGAGTTCAGTTAACTGCCAACTTGTTCATCAAGTGCTTCAACAAGTGTTTTCATCAAAACTTAAGCTCAGTACCTTCAATGCTGGAATGCAGGTATATACAGCTAACCAATCTGGAATAAAGTGAAACATGAGTCCTGTATTCTATTGCAAACTATATACTAAACGCTATATTAAGACAAATCACTCCGGGTGTGCAGTAACAGGGAGTGATCATAAATATTTAAGGTAATAAAGCAGAGCATTGACGCTGGTAAATATTGAAAATCAAGAAGTAGTAGACAGTTGTTTTGTCCCAATATTCAATTATTTCTACAATCCACATTCATGAGCTTACTGAAGGGAGATTAGAAGATCTTTCGGTAACAGATAATTCACAAGACCTAAAGTTTATTCTTTATCTGAATCATAACTATTTATTGATGATCAATCTCATGATGAAATGGAACATATGTCTAGTACTCATTGTGTTTTTATGATTGTCCCGCACATGTATATCGCTGAATTAAAATAACTTCAGACAAACTCCTCATGTTAATATGCATATAATATAAATCAATTGAAGTTTGAATTGAGAAACGTTAAATTTGAACTGTACTTCTGAATAATAATATATTTGTTACAAAATATGAAAGCCCTAGACACAATCTCTTGTAATATGATGGGATGTGTATTGAAAAGATCCGTATAGACCTAAATAACATAGTGATAAGGTTGTTATTCGTAATTCTAGATTGATGTGATGTTAGTCCGGTAAAGAACAACATTTCCTTTAATATTGATGAAACATTTTGTGGATGAATGATACTTATTAGACAACTTGTTTCTAAGGCGTTTTCTCAATCGACTATTTCAAATCATCACACAAAATCAATTTTTATTTTCATTAATTTCATCAATCGTATTTTAATTAATTTTATCAAAATTATTTTAACATTTAGAAAAGGATACATTCAAGGCATAATTTACGTAGATGATAAAGAATGTAATCAAATTTTTCATCTGTATAACCGAATTCTTTTTCAAGTAAATCAGTTATATCTGTCTACAAATGTTCATAGAAAAGATAAAGAAAAATCGAATAAAGAGAGTCATTCCAAGAATCGTTTTGAATGAATTGCTCTTTGATAATTTTGATTATTTTAATAGTTGAATTCAAGAGCATTCACTCGCGAGACCGATAAGTTCTGAGTTCAAGTCTCTTTGGTGCGAGATCGTGGATGTGCATCGCTGATGAGTCCCACACTAGGACGAAACGGCCGTCCAATGCTTCCATGTTTTAAATGTTTATCTAACTTATATCAACTCATGAATTCAACTATTGAAATTACTACAATCTCCGCAAACTTCATTCCGATCATGATTTTGATTATATCAAGAATATCTTAAATACTCTGAACTGAAGTACATCATTGTTAAATCTATCGTACATAGAATAACTGGTGCACTATATAACTGAATACAGATAAATGAAGAATATAAATAACTACCATGTTATTACTTATTGCGTACAATTCCGAATTATCGAAATAGTGACTGTTTGATACACTCATGGAGCAGAAATCAATCATCTTCGATGCATAAATATTTAGTTGAAATAAGATCTAATCGTTTGACTTTAGGAACGCTTTGTTTCCAGAGAATGTTTCAAGTGATAATGCTCAGGCTTGCGAGCCATGTGTTTTTATGTTTACGCAAAATCTATTTCTTCTGAATTTGATCTCTCCTTTCTTCCCTGATAATGCTTATTTGATAACATTTTATTCTTTCCATATTAAATTATGTCACTTTGTTTAATTGACCTGCTTTGATATGCATAGACAAATGTATTGAAAAATAAGTGTTTAGCTTCTATGGGCATATTGTATTCTCCAGATTAATTCCATTTCTTCGTTACCCTAATAAAATTTATTCAAATAATCGTTCCTATGAAATTTATATGTTTTCTTAGAATTTGGAGTGAATATTTATGAAGATGGATAGGACTGATCACTTGCAATCTTGAATGTTACCATACTGAAAAACATAAACCTTTACAATTCAATCGATTATCTGTTGAATAAACTAGTGATTATCTGGATTCACTATTTCAGTGGATAACACATTGATGTTTGAAGTGATTATATGATGAATTTTGTTTTCATTATAAACATCAATACTGAAATGATCGTTCATCCTGCTGACGAGTCCTAAATAGTACAGAACCCATTATATATCATTACTCAACTTTGAGAAATATTTTTCGATTGAGATCATGAACTGATTGATCTTAGACCACGCGAGGCACTCAGTCTTGCACACAAACGCTTAACTTCTAGGCATCCAGTGGTGTTAATGTCTAACTTCAACCAATCCACGATATTGCGTGACCATCTACCAGACACAGATTAGCTTCAGTGGTCACAGCTTCACACTAGAACTCCGAGAATTCTTTCACGAATGTAGTCACTAGTGAGCACATGTGACTGAATGGCAATTCAGAATATTTAATTACAGTTCTCTAGCAAATAATATGGGCTATAGAAATTGTAAAAGCAAATCACATTTGCATAATCCCATACATTCTTTCAATCACTCTAATATACTGAACTATAATGACTGAGGTATAATATCAGGTTCATATTTCATTTTAATTGAATTAATTGATATGTGTTTATTCTTCTGATTAAAAATATCATTGGAATACGACAAAATTTTAATTGACCACTTCGTCTTTTATTGTACAAGGAAGACAAACCGCCAAAAATAAAACAAAATCGAACTACTTAAACAAAATATCTCATTACAAAGAAAAAATGTCACTCTATTGAATTAATCAATAAATGAACATAATCAATACTTGCCCGTATAGATATATACACGTATATCTATGCATAGTAACATACACTAGGTAACTTTGAATTGCAAGTCACAATCATTGTTTAAGTCGGTAGTAATGTTGAAGGGTACAAATGTATATGAATAACTGTCCAATTACATTGACAACTTATATATATATATATATATATATATATATATATATATATATGTATATATCAAGCATAAATGATTAGTTCCTTGTTTATTCAAAGAGTATTATGAAAATCGATAGTCTGTACTGCCTATTTTGAATTATCATACATAAACTTCCCTATATCATCTTGAAGACAACAAGAAAAAGACGTTTAACAGAATAGCATAAATTCATTTTATCTCGTTTGATCATCCTCAGTTGCTGACAACCTGTGATGCTGAAGAATCATAATTACAAAATGAGTTTATAATGCTGACATGAGTGAGTTTAGATGGAAGTTGCTATCATTACACGTCAGTGCAATATAGCAACTTAATTGTTTCTGTGACAGATAAAATCGATCTGGTTCTGCGTAGTGTGATCCGTAGAAACTCATATAGTCTAGTACATGAGTTTGTAGGGAATATTGTGCAACCTATAACCATTTTGTTGAATGTATATAAACTTGTAAATCTCCCGCCGAATACGTTCATTTCTCTTAGTCCATGTCATCCAGTGATATCCTTATACCTAGTGTTGTCCATTCCAACTTTGGCTTTCAAGTCTCCCATATGGATGGTTAAGTTCTGTCCTGGGCATTTCTCTACGGTCAACTGCTGCGTCTCATAGAACCGATCTTTATCGTTGTCATTGCCATCATTTTTGGGTGCATAGCATTAGATAACATTCACTGCGACCACCTCCTTCTTTGCTTTCAAGGATGGTTTCATGATTGTGGATCCATGAAATAACCACCCTGAGTATGCGGAGTGTTTTCTTCGCAACCAGAGTACAGCAGCCTCCCTTGGGAATCTCAATGTGTTTTGCTGATTCCGAGCACCGTCAAGTTGTATCTTCTCATATCTGTAGCTAATTAACTAGTCCTCCTTGTATCACACATTGTGCGGACACTTCACGTACATCGGTCTCGTGACTACCGAAGGATTTCGTCTCTCACCATAAGGCGTTTTAATTCTCCTGTATAAAGATGCTTCAAATCCCAGGCAAGAGTTTAAATGGTTTATTCTCGTTATCTAGATTATTTTCTATGGAATGGAGTTGCTAACTAATAATAATCATGAAAATTAGCACATAGATAGATAGACAGACAGATATAGATATGGATACGGATGTGGATATAGATATGAATATGGCTAATAAAAATACTTTACAATGTGAAATCGCTCACTTTTGTAACAACAATCATAATCGGGATAGGAAGTAATTTATTCATTACACCTTCAGTAATAAATTTTTTCAGCCATTTATTCGATTGTTGTTGCTGCTCAACTGACTTTTCATTTGACTGATCATCTTGATCATTCTGTTGTTGTTCGTCATTTTGGATTGGTTGATTCTGTTGTAGAGAGTATGATATTCCAGTACAACTATCTATCGGTTTCGGATGTAATGGACTATATGACCATTTAGTAGTTTCAAATTGATCTTTAACAATATTTTGTGACTGAAGACTTAATTGATGTCGGAAATTCATAGAAGATTTTGTTCCATCATCTTTAACTATTGATGAATCAGTGAACATTTTAAGATTGTAGACAACTGGACAAAAATGAAAAGGAGTTAAAAAATAATTCGAATGTATTTTGCAGAATAAAAATACCGAAAGATACTTTTACCGATAGATAAAGGGAATAGTGTAATAAATATCTGTTAGCAGATTATATATTGGGTCAAAACATGTTTGGTGAATGATTGTTTTGGGTCACGCTAACTGGTTATATCTTATCGAATCAGCGCTAGTGAATACATAAAGATGACTCCAAAATCTTCTTATGTGAAAAACTATAAATATACTAATGTTTCTATTATTTTGATTTCCATTTCCATCCAACATGTTTATTTGAAATATAATTAAGTTCCTGTTCAACTGTGTTCTGATTTGGGGACATGTCGAGTGAGCTAGTATCCAAGATTATTAAGCAATAGGAGTAGCATGATTGTATTAAAGCAAAATTGCAACATCACCATATTGTAATAGTAAACATAATTTTGTCATATCCGAATGAGTAGAAAAATTGTATTTTTGATATTTTGTGACTTTATTTGATTTAATTTGCTTATTTATTTTCTCTGAAGAAGTGGTTTACATTAAGTTACGAAATGTCAGAAATACAATATTTTTTCTACTCATCGGAAATGTAAACAACTTGACTTCACTTTCTACTCAATGCCCAATTTATTTGAAACTATCAAAATCACATTACAATATTAATTTAATAACACTTTGTGATAATGTATGTGCTTGAAAACGTAGTTGACCGCTTTTTACAAATTTCTAGTTTTATGTCGTTAATCTCATAAGAGTTTAAGATAACTCACTTGATCTAGTAATCACTTCGTTCTGTTTTGGTAATTTTTATTAAACCAAGTTAAATGTATAAAGAAGAGTTTTCTGGAAAAAATATCGTCAGACATTACAATTTGATTAGTTAAACATTATAGTTGGCCAATAGTCTATTTTTCCTTGACCAAAAGAGCACTAATTCTCATGTGGAGATAGGCATGATAAACTTATTTTGTAAATACATTTTTTAACATTATTATTTGCATTTATTTTGTTAATTTTTCACAGTCTGTACATTTATCACAAAATGATTGTACATGCTGTTTAAGTGTATGACGTTGAACATATTTTCTTCCAGTGTGTTACACGTATAGCATGATACACGCTGTTAACTGCTAACAAATACACTACTATATATATACACACACACACTCTTGTTCTATACTGCTTGTGGTTGTGATAACTGAACTCTAAATCATCTACTGTCTACATTTATAGACTATAGCCACATTTACATTATATTCTATGTTTGGTTACACCACTGGAAGCCCAACAATTATTAATCATCTATGATTGTGGATTCTGGTACAAAACTCAATCTGATTACGCACAAGCCAGCTGAATTAGGTAAAATCCCTAATTTTTCTTGTGTTCATAATGTATAACTGATATATTATAACATTACTATTTGTACGCAGTAATTTTCTTGCTTCATTACTATTGAGGGAACTGGTACTCCCTGACGGATTCGATCCCGTGAAACCCAGCTTCACAGTAAAAGACGTTACCACTGAGCTATCTGGGCCGCGACTGATCTCCTGTAGGATTGAGATATAAGCACAATTGTTTGATCACTGAGTGATGAATAATGTTATGTGTATCAAGTCCTTCTTAGTGTAGCTCGAATGCTATCGAGCAAGTTGAAATGTGATCACTAGTCTAGGGGAATTGACACCGAGTGAACTATGTTAAGAATAGTTTCATGGAAAAATATCTCCAGACACTATGATTTGATTACTCAAAAATTGTAGTTGGCCAATATGCCAATAAATGGTCTATTTTTCCTTAACCGAAAGAGCATTATTTCTCGTAGAAAACATTACAGATAGGTCTTTATTGAAGGCTCAAAACAAATTTTCAATAAAACAATCATATTAAAAGACTTTCTGACATGTAAACTCAAACAGCGAAAGTTAAAATATAAACATCGTTGAATACTACTATAAGTAATAAGGTATTAATCGATTACATAATCAAAGTAATGGATGTAATTCATTTGTCATGGTCACATTATTCTTGTGAAAGTTGACCATGTTACTTTTTTGCTCAATTCAATCGTTATTCATTTATCGATCGTCATTCAAACACATTCAATCATTGTTCACCTTTTTTATTTGAATATTAAATCTGGCGGGAAAATAAGAGTTTAGAATTCAAACTTGATATATAAAAACAATTTCATTGTTTGTTAGTTTTTTCACTTACTACTTGATTTTAAATGTTCAATTTCTTCTAAATCCATTTTTAAATAATGAATATGTTGTTCAATAATTTGTAACCATAATTCTAAATCATTCATTATTGACCATGGTTCAGTATAATCAATACAAACGATTCCCATAGTATGCCATATAGTTGATTTATTTAAAGCAAATTTTAATAAATTACTTTGTTGTGGATCACCATCTAAACTCCATATACCCATATGTAAAGAGTCTAAAAATGATTTAATAATTTAATACTTTCATATTGATTCAACGAATGATATACAAGACTATTGATAGTAATATGAATTAGTGAATGAATATTTAAGGATTATTGTGTTTATAAGACAGTTATATCTTGAATAATGAACAATGAATAAATCTAATAGACACTTTTGTTGAAGTTAAATTATGCTATTAACTCCTTCATTTAGACTTGAAGTGAACAGGTAATTCACTAAACTGATGTGACACAATGTCAATTAGCGTGTTTGATGGGTGTGTATGTTTACGTTGTCAATATTCAAGATTGTAGTTGGTTAGTGTTTGTTTGTTATAGAAATTCCTTTAAGTGAACTGCTTCATATCTTAAACATGTTCTAATGATGATGTCTAGAACATTGTTGATTGATCTTGATCAATAGAATCGAGAACGTGATCTAGGATCACAGCGGATATCAGGTAGTTTACAATGCAGGTTTATCCAAGCGACAAGTCTTAAATAAGATAATGAGTTCTAGTTCTCATTCATATTGATTCTTCAAAACATAGTTTGAAATTAGGTTTGATTTGAATAATAACGACTAATGTACATATTCCTTTTCAAGACAATTTTACATTACTAAACTGACATACACATATATCAGTTGTTTTTACAGAGATATTTATCAAGTCATTGGTAGGCATCTTGATTAACTTGGAAATCAGTGGTAACGAATACCGTACAGTTTTCACTAGTCATCCTTCTCGGAGAATAATGATTTGTAAAAGGAATAGATAACATCATCATCGATGGAGAAAGACTCCTTACACTCAAAAATTACTAACCTTCACTTCCATCTTCATGTAGATTAAAAAATTGATAATCTAAATCAATCCCACATTGAATATCTGTATTCGAATTAATCCATTCAATAATTCGTGTTTTATCGGTAGATTCATTGCCAAAAATGATTAATTGTGGTTTATCAGGTGATTCAATTGTTCCATAAGCATTTCTTCTGTTCGATTGAACTTCATCAAGTAAAGATATCCTAAAAGGTATAGAAAAATGATAAATATTCATTCACATTTATGTGTATTACAGTAATTGAATTTAGACTATGAAATGAAAATTTAGTACTACTGTTAGTGCTTATCGTTCACAATTCTTTGTCAACATTTCAAGAATTTAGAAAGCGGCAGGATGTAAAAGTTATTGAATTTTAAGATTAACATAACAGAATTAATTTCGTAAGGGAACTTTATAAAGCCAGAGAGGAATAGACGATTGTTTTATTCTTGTATCGCGGTCGTCAGAAGTGTACAGGGTCCTCAAGTTTTGAAGCGGTCGTTTAACTTGTAAACTGTTTATCTGGTATTTACTGGTTTAAATCATTAACTCCAGGTAATTTGTGAAATTAAACCGACGTCGCTCCTTGCTAATAGTAAACGTTTTCTCACATCCGAAACTGTTAAACTGCGATGGTCACCGTTGTTTACTTTGACTGCAAAAAATACCGCTAAGAGCCAATTATCGTTATTTAACGAAAAATTATATACTAAGAAAAAAATACTACGTATTTATCCCCGATTTTATTATGACAACTAAGTGAGTCGGTCGTCAAAATAAAGCTACAAACTGTCAATTCATCAAAATGTTTCATTTCATCAACCTCATACTTCTCTTTATTTCTTAAGATGATAGTTTTGATAAACGGTATGTTTCTTAATAAAAATAATAGTTGACTCTAAAAATAACTCAGTTTAAACAAAAAATGATTAGTAAGTGAATTTGTTTCCGGACTCCGTTTTGAGCCCACCCTTGGATTCACATGAGATCAAGTTCATAACTCTCGACTATTGCCATGAGAATAATATTGGTTCAGAATCCAATGGTCCAGATTTTAGTCAAAACACCGATCTCATCAAATATCATCTACAAATAATTGCATCAGTTCCTTCTTAGTCGGAATTGTTAAGCCAACACGTCCAATAACTTTGTAAATTACCGTTCTAACTATTCAATTTACTCTTAAAATGTTGCTATGTTTATCGATTAGTCATTGAAAAACAGCTAATAGTTTGTGAATGAAAATCAGGTCATACTCTTTTTCTTCTACAATAGGCGAAACCATGTATAGTTATGAATTAATCAATAGTCGGAAAATTTTCATTTCTGTACCTTTAAAATTTCTCACTATTATTCTGCTCAAATCTTTGCAAAATAGAATTACTCAGGAGACTGCTGGCGTCATATTTTGTTTAATGCATACGTTGAAACTATGAAGAGAAGTACAACATTCGATCTTAAATGGAAGAGTTTAATTTTTAAGGCTTTTAATGAGATTCGCTTGACTTAGGCAGAAACGAAGCATCCCAGCACAAGAGAGAAATTAAAGACAAGACGATCATTAAAAACTAGACATAAGTCAGAATTCTGTCTCACTTCATTTATATTTCTGCGTTTAACTACACTAAATAATATCTAATTTCAAAATGACACAAATCAAATATCACTTGACGTCGATTTTTCAATAAATCGCATCAGAATCCCACAGGTAACACATAGAATTAATTAATTAAGTTACACGTTACCTTTTTGTTAGCGGAAACCTTTTTTGTTTCTAATCGGCTATTTTAACATTGAAATATCTCTTCTATGACTAAACTAATATATAATGTTCGAATACATAGTGGGGTACGTGACTCAAGCTCATGGTCACCTATTGTGATCTTAGATAGCTGAAGATGAGCAACAATAAGTCGTAAACTAGTGTCGAGTGTCAACTAGAGCAGAAGCTTCATTAGAATGTTAAGACTAAAATAGGTCGAGACTAGCTTGTTTGTTAAATATTGTCATTGTAAATATTAGCGAATATTTCTCAAGATTATATTTCGTGATAACTTACAACTGGATAAGTAAACAATAACAGGAGTTTTATGAGAGATTATTAACGAAAAGCAAACACCTAATTGCGATTTTTCACAGTTAACTCAGTTTCGCTGATAACTTTGCTGTATATTTATATCTACACACCAAATATCCCACATCTTAGGGGATATGTGAAAATTATGAAGGATAGCCATACGCTCGCTACATTCGATGATAGTCATTTATCCTTTGTCATGAACGTCTATACTATACATCTGTTAAGACAGTGTTTCAATGAAAGTGAAACAAATTTCTATGTGTTAGACACAAATCATAGGTGATATGTTTTCCAAATAAAAGAATACTGATCTACGAAAGGGTTAGATATGAAAAGGTTTAGCTAAGAAAATAAATTTGATATAGAAACCCTAACTAAATGAATGAGACAAAATGTGTAATTACACTAATATTCTGAGTCTCGACTAATACATTTAAACGAATATTCTTGTTCGGTTATCTACATTATGTTATAGATGTGAGTATTAAAAAGTAGATAGCTACACTATAGTTGCAAACAAGATCATTTTTCATTCGTACAACTTGGCTGCGACACCAAACAAAAAGACATTTTGTTTGTTTATGAGAACTAAACAATGTATTGACGTGATCATCTTCTATCGAGTGAACTTTTGTATCACCTGGTCTTATTCTAGCTTTTTGAATTCATTCAATTTCTACAGCTACTTTTAAAATACATATGGATTATGGTTCTGATCCTAAAGCCATTAGGTTGTCAAAGTGCTTTGTACGCGTTTAAGTAGTTCCGTATATATTTGGTTGATAAAACCACAACAATGTTTTTGTAAGTCAAATATAAAGTGCAGATTGATGCTAGTAGTTAAAATGCAGGATCTGACATCACGTTCAAAAGCCGTGAACACAATTCTCAAAGAAGGTGGATCGCTTCCTAGTTTAATTATTTGAAATATAGGGGAGTTGAAAAATAATGACCATGCTAAAAGACACACACACGATCTGCAGTTAGCGGAATCTGTAATCACAAATGTACTACCTGAAGAGATTTCAAGGATACATATCAGGAAAATAATACGACTTGGTAAATGGGTTGGAGGCGAAACCCAATCAAGAACGAGCTTGACTTTGGTACTCGGGAATTTTAAAGAAAGGGACGTATTATTGAATAATGTAAACAAAAACTGTGATTCAAATATTCTTATCCGACCAGATTAGCCGCTTGATGATCAAATCAAGAAGAAACATGCTCTTGCGGAGTTAAGAACTCGAAAGCTAAATGACGAAACGAACCTTGAGATCAATGGCTTCTGGGTAGTCAAGTCTTAGAAGCCAGTGCTTCGAACTTTTCTTCCATCATTGCAGGCTTCATCTGTATTAGAAGTGATAGAGCTTTAAGTCTTAATGGAGGAGACATAATGTTATACGTTAGGGATCACTTTCGTATGTAATCTATCATATCAGAGTTCAAGGCTACATTCGAGGTTGAGGCTTAAAAGTTAGTTCTAGGAAGTGTGTGCTCATGCACATCGGACACGGTAATAGTTACCTTTATACTATTGATGGTACATAGTTTCCATGCATTCAAGAACATAAAGACTCAGAAGTAGGAATGTCATGACTTGAAAACAACTACTCGTTGCCAACTCACTTGAGCGTGTCCAGCGTGTGAGAAAAAAATTAGTGAAGGGCTTTTCTAAACTCTCTTAAGATGAGCTCTTAAAAAGCCCAAACATTTTCCACTTTGTCGTATCGTAGGACGCGAGTTGACCTTATTACCTTTAATTATGATTTGAGTGTTAAAATGTCTTATCTTTTTGCTCCCTTCAATACTAACAATCTCCGATATCATAGCAAGAAGGTTCACATACCGCGGTCTAAAAAAACTTGAATTAAGGTCCCGTTTTCTTTATTGAGGAGTGAACAACTGGAACACAATACCCAAACAAGTGGTTTCAGCCCAATCAGTGAATATTTTCAAAGAAATACCGGACTTTCGCTGGAAGCAGTCTGTCAGGATTAACACAGGTTCATCAACCTACCATCCTCATCACTGAAGAATGAAGACCCTTATCACAGCTTAGATTTCCAATATAACGAGAGACATTTTGAATATAATGTGGTTTTTGAGGCCTTAACCTCGTTTATACATAAACAATAACCCATATTAAAGTTGATGGGATTTATATATGTTACATTCCACCCTCTACATCTTGAACTTTGTACCAGGAAGCGTCGTATTCGAGACTAAATTGAGGGTTACTTAAGCCTCTCTAACAACAAATTTCTTGACTTAGACTGAAACTTCGAATCTCCATTTAAGAATTAAAATAGCAGCGTTGGTTTTCTGGCCCAATAAACCGATAAAATATGTGAGGCTTACCATAAATTTTGCTTTCTGTCTTCTAATGTATCACGCATTCTACAAACCGATTTGAAATACTACTTATCAAGGAACAAGCATGATAGCGAACTAAAACAAACTCTCTCGTTACAAGAAAATAATATAGTGAATCTGTAGCATAACGATAGTGTATATCATTAATATTTCTATGTAGATATACGATAACGAGAAAAGTATTCATGTAGTCAGGCGTAAATGTCAGATTACAGTTTGAACCTGACTACAAAAATACACTCAGAGGTTGTTAAACAGGATATCATGTTGCCCCTAGTTGTTGTTTGTTGCGAAGGCGAAGAGGCTTTCTACTGAATGTACTTTAGGTTTTAACTCTACGGCATCACTGATTTTCAGGTAAATTCCTTGTCTCCTGTCGGTGAAGCAACCGATAGTGGAAATTGTTGTGCACAGAAAATCACCCCAATCACTTCTTACCAACCGACCAAGCGTCTGTTTGACAATTTTTGTGCTTATCTAGTAGAACTTAACGTGACTGAATCTAACATATATGAACGAAGCTATTAGAATTCGCGAGATCACAGACCAATAGTCAATAAGGATACATTTCGTAGAGTTCACTGAAAACAGTATTTCTACAGTTAAAACTATTCCACCAAACCTTTCAAAACACTGTATGCCAGATCTGAAAGTCTGGCTGTTAACCGGAAATGTTTCGATTATATGTTCATTATAGCGTAGTTACTCGTAGGCCAAGAACGAACTCATAATATTGTAACACAGCAAGGTATTCTGCTAACCCACAAAGAACCCTGAATAATAAGATTACTTGCTTCTTTCTGTTTTAGACGCTTCATATAATTATAGTAAAATGCATCAAATTAGCTTAATTTAGCTGTTGATCTACGATATACCTATCCCTAGGCAGCTGGGATTTCCAGGTCAACTTTTAATGTCCTGATTGCAAAAGCCCGCCTAAAAGATACAGATGCTTCCATTGATTACATCGTTTGAAATTTAACATCATATTGGAGTCGCTAGTAGTTGTTTAAGAATGTCCATATGATAACACCTGGTATAATGACTAGGTTTTAGTGGCGGTGGTTCGTTGTCTCAGGTTAATGCTCATCTAAACCTTAACGCGAAAAAAATTTTCTACACTAATTAAACTTCTAACATTCGGCATCACTCGAGCACCATGAGTAGTAGAAAAGTCCTGAATATATGATAACGCGCATGATTATTTTCAACCTAAAAATATCGCTTTAAATACCCTTTTAATCACAAATCTGCAAAGTGTATTGAGTTAACTTGCATGAAATTTGTACCTAAGCTCATTACGTTTTCAAAAACTCGCGCGATTTTCGGTTTGTTTGTGTATTGAACTTATCAAACACTTATGGCTTCGAAGTAAACTTGCGAACCTCATACAGCCTTATTCATTGCTCGCGAGTATAGCGTGTCACAGGGAAATACAACTGACTTTTACAATTCGAATTGCTGAAAAGCGATTTTTTATTGATTAAGTGTATGACAAGGCAAAACCAAGTGGTATGTGTGGAATTATGGTTTCCTATGATATTAGTACTGCTCTAATAATAGACCTAATCATGAAATTGTAGATTTCTCATGATGTAACTGCCTAATCCATAAGATCTTACGTAGAAGTCATATTATCATCTACACCAGCTCAACGCATCGTGACAATCATCAATATATGATTTGAACACACTTAGGCTAGAGATAGAACAATATATTTAATATGAGTATAAGATATGGGGTAACATTGAATAGGACGTATATCTGCAACGCCGAACCATGCCATCCGATCAATTCTAATTAATTGAATTCATTCTTCCTGCCTTCTTCGTCGTTGGGTTTTTCTCCACACTGAATTTTGAATATTTATTTCCCCAATTATCTCGTGTTCAGCCTTGATGATTGTTTGGTTGGAGTCCAATGCCACTATGCATGTACATTTCTTACAAGACGTTATGAAGTATTCACGCAATACATATGCATGGCGTTCAATCGCCCCTTTTTTCCATCTTCCTGTGTGTTGTGTAATCCGAGCTGCTTTTTCCACCGGCCTCCAAGTGTTCAGCCAGCGCCACGCATACAGTGCGCTGTCACCCTTCATTCCATCCGACAATCGTCTCAACTTCGAAGTCACGTTTCGCTACACACTGCTTACATGCATCCTTGTGAGCAGCGTCCAGTGCACTGTGGCAGGTTTGAGTTATTTTTTCTGGTTAGCGTTTTTTAGAGGGTTAGTTTTCCACAGGATGTGGTCGCTAACCCCATGCCCAGCCCTCCTCCTTTACCCAGATTTAGGACCGACAGTAACTCTAGAGGAGCTACAGGAGGAGTTACACTGTGGCAGACATACAAACACTTCCCGGAGAGTTATGGAGAGACAGTTTCACTAATATGATATGACGTTTTTAGAACGTCACTAACACTTAGATTTTTAGCATGACTATATACAGGCTATTTATGACTTTAACCTAATAGAATGTTATATGCACCCTCCAGAACCTACCTGACGAGTGTGATTATGTATGCTGTGGAAGCAGATAAGTTAACTTGCTTTTTGGAACAAATAAAGTTGAGCGAAAGTGAATATAATTATCAAACACGGCATACATGGGGTTGAAATTCAAAGACGATTGGATTTCGTAACAAGATAAACTGAAAATAAAATAATATAACGAAATAAAACTAATCCCAATAAGTATTGATTTCACTAGGTGGACGAGACTCATATTGGTTGTTACTGGTTAAAGCGTTGTCGAATTCCAAATACCTCTGGCTTCTTCAATTTACTTCTTCCAAGTGATCTGGTTTTGAAGTTTTTTAATGAAAACATCTAACACAGTACATACACTATCTTATGAATCGACAGGCAGACAAGCGTATTACTAGTAGTGCACATCTTACTTAATTCATAATGGAGTGAGAAGAAGGTTTACACAGTTATACTATCTGATTACAACTTATTACCACGTTACGTTTGTAGCATCAATAAAACAACTGCATTCAGGAAAACTAAATAGCAAATAATCTAGAATCACTATCAACTACCAAGCTGTCAATTTATTTCGGTCACTGGATCGAATTATGTGTATCTGAACTAAAAAGCACTAAATAGCGTCAAGTGTACCTTAAGATAACGAAGGCGATTCATGTTGTCTCGTTGAAGACAATTCAACGAAGAAACGTTTCTTCTTGATGATGAATGTTCCTAAGAAAAGTCACTTAATGAACATTGAGTTTAATTGGGACTGTGCTAAAGACATTTTGAAGAATCATCTAGGAAATTCATTGACGAAAGCGTTCTATGCTGTCAAGTTCACATCGTCCTTCCCTGACCAACATCATTCGTGAATGCGCCAAGTACAAAGTCTCACATGGAGGCACATCAGTGTGTAGTTATAAGTTCATTTTCACTCGTGGGGAAGGTTATATAGATCGCACACAGCGATCGTTTTCTCAACACATCTCTGAAAATTATCCCGAACGGCTTTCAATAACTCGATTTAAATCAATCAACGGTTCAATATTAGAACATCTTGTGAATTCCGGACACATGGCTTTGCTTGATGAGTCATCTGGACGTATCTATACAATCAGGCTATGTTGTTTGAAAGGAGAGTAAACTAATAACTTATGCACTACATAGGCACTACTGATCCATATTTTCAATCCTCAACTGCATGCAGAAAGCGAACACGTTCATTTCATTATTCTTCCATGGCAATAACACTTCATTTTCATCAACGATAATCTGATTTTGTTAATACATCACTCATCTTATACTTGTCAAGTGAATAATTATCCATCTCACATTTCATTTCAACCTATTACCTCTTTTGCATTCTCGATTATTGATCAACATTCTTTTTGTACGTGATATGACGTAATCATCATCATCATATCTGCCAGTAGACTGTTTTATTGTAAACGAACTGTAAATACAATCTTAAAGCTTGAGTAAATGATATCTCCAAGAGGAAATTTTCATTACTGTCTTGTCATTATTCTGCTTTAAATATCGTTTCATTACATTTTTAAAATATTTACAAAAACTTAAAACAAAAAAGTTGATGATCACATGATAAAAGAATTTTAAATATCATTTCAATAGTTTTCTAGATTTTAGCAGTTAAATTCAAAAGTTGAATCAATATAGACTGATAACTTGGAATCATTAAACGACCGTTTCGTCCTAGTATGGCACTCCGGAACATTGAATGTCAGCTTAGTGGTCTAAAGGTTAAATGTTCGCTCGTGAGACCGAGTTTCTTTTGCACGGGATTATGAATATGCATCGCTGAGGAATCCTGTACTAAGACGACACAGCCATCCAGTGTTTTCAGGTTTTCAATGGTAGTTTAAAATATGTCGACTCATGAATCCTCATTTCCGATCATCTTCTCTATACCAATGAAAACTTTCAACAGATAAGTAAATGAACTATCAAATATATTTCATATGAAAATAGATTATAACAATCAGTACAAAATTGTTTTATTCACAAATATCTCTACAGTGAATCATTGAAATTATAATGATTACACATTCCGTTGGTTATATTTAATATAGTACTGTTATTCATTTTTGATAATATCTTATTATCACAGTGAGAAATAGTTTCGTCTAATTTAGGCGCCAAAACTGAATTCCCAGATTTCAATATAGAATGAATACATTTATCTTGTTGATTATTAAATGTATGAATATTTTTATTCATTATATTGGAGGATAACATACAATAATGAGGTAATGAATAATATGATCTTTGAATTTGATTAGTTTTTGTATTACATTTAAAATAACATGAATATTGATCATTGAACATTGACTTTGACATTGATTCATTTAAACAAATATCATTAGTATAGATTTGATTTATTAAAGGAGTTTGATTCAAATTTAATGGTCTGTCATCATCATTATTATTATTTTGAAGAACAGATTCATAACCGAATTTATTATGAAGAAATTTTATTGTACAATTAGGATTGTTACTATCATATACTGAATTTGCCTTACAGTGAAGAGGATACTGTTTTAATTCACAGCAGTTATATACATAACTATCATGATGATTTTTACTATTGTTGTTATTAGCTGGAATCAAAGTTTTTGCATTTGAACATGTAGAACAATTTGATTGAGACTGAATATTGAAATTGCTCATGGGATGTACACAGGTATCTAAGTTACATAACAAAGCACACACGCGACGTGAATGTACATCATAAACTGACTTTAATCGAAGAATCTATCAACAACTAGCATTGTTTCATCAGATTATATGGCTTTAATCTATCCGATTGTTAATAAAAAATAAGACAATCTAGCGAGACTATAACTTATGGACAAACCAATCAGGTATATGATAACAGGTCTTGGACTTTCGAGCGAAATTCAGCCCATTCATTTGGTCAAATAGAGTCTTGTCATTTTAGCTGATGTCAGTTCGTGATGAAAACACTAAATCTAATTCCTAACTTTCACCATCAACTGTATATCATAATTCTAATTCCTCACACTGGTTTGTAACCCTCATTTTGTATTAATTATTAGGTGGACACTTTCACAGTCACTTTGTCGTCACTCAAATATTTACCATCATTATTATTCTCATTGACAATCATAGTTAAATGCAAAATACTTCATATAGTCAGGTCTGTTTATGTATTCAATTTAAGAAGGAACAATGATAAAACAGCAGTTGTTTTAACTGTATACTTATTAAATAGAGGAGATCAGTATACTGACATCAATGTATCAGCTGGTAATCTATCTCTGATCCATCTATTTGGAGTAATTATCAACTCTATTAACTGCTTGATTCTTCTCACTATTGTGATTTAGGTTTAAATAAACTCATGGTGTTGTAATACAGGACATTATCATGAACATCATCTAACGTCTTTCATTTCAGTACTCAATCGTACTCTGAAGTAATTCTATATGCTTCTAATTCATTATTTATAATTCCTAACAATTGGCTTTTTGAAGTTTCTACATTGATAATTCATACACTTGTAGAAGTTGGTCAGTCTAGGAGTGCTCATTTCAAAGTTATAAAACGCAGACTAACTTGTTTTCTACATCGGAAGTCATGTGTTTTTTCGACGTACATACTTTCTTCAGTAAAGTATAACATCAAGGAATTTTTTGGTTTATGTTCAAAAGTAACCGTAGTCAGATAACTAATGAAATCAAGAAGTTTTAGATACCGGCTTTGCTGTGATATGGAATTCCTCAACAACACATATCCTTGAACCAATCACAGATCGAACTTGGGACTTCTGCGTCACGCATAGAAGGATTACCTTTTATAGCCTTAAGTCCGGATCCAAAGTTTTATGTATCTCACGCCGATAACTTGGCTTCATTACACAACTATTATGCAATAGCATTAGGAAGAAACTGTCACACAGTGAACATAGAGAGACTCTATTGATCCAATAATCCACAATGAACAATGATACTTTTCATTTTATTATCTAGTTATACATAAGTCAATACTTATTTTCACTGAAAAGTACAATATACCATTTGATTAAAATCACCAATCTTTATACAATAATCATATGTGATCACTTACTTTGATATTCACAACAAACTTTTTCATGTATAGTTGATTGCTGTCCATTTAAAATAGAGTTACTTGTTACGTAATCATCAAATTGATTTATAGGAACTACGGGATCATTCTAAATACCGTTCAAAAGAAAATAGAAAACAGATAGTCAACTATTCATCGTTTACATTTACCTAAAACTGAATATATTGCAACCACTTAACTATGAAGATGAATACAGTATCTCTTATTCACATCATATATAACATGAATAATAGTTATCTCATTTCAGAATTCTTCATGATTAGTATGCTTACTAAATATTTCAGCATTACAACTAAGACTTGTTTTGTGTTGTGTGCTATTGATGTCGACAAATTCGGAGTATCATCAATCAAAACTGAAATGTCTGACGACAGAAGGTTATGAAGATTGAAGAGAAGAGAACGAGGACAAATCAAGTCTGAAACAATTGATTGACATTTACAGTGTGGTTTTCAAGTTTTATCAAGAGATTCTGGAATTTCGTATTCATAGCCATTCGCTTATCCTCGCCTATGTTCCCGTTCATTACAGATTGATATTTCAAGAATCTTGTATCAAATGTCAACAAAACCATCCATTCTCTTGGTGATGCATTTAAATCTTTTAGTCAGTTCCTCATTTATGTGTAAAATGTTTGACTTAATTTGTTTGATTTATCAATTGAAAATGTGGGATTCCTAATCAATCATTTTACTTCTATTCTAGTTGATATTGTACAATGCCATTAGTTTTATTAATAATTTTATAACTACTTAAATAATGTAAGTAGATTAAAATATTTCTTTAAAATACCTACCAAATAAGGTTGATCAAATGACTGATTTATTTCTTTATTATTGATTACATTAAAATGATTATCATCAATAAGTGAGTTTTGTATAACCTCTGACAAATCCATTGCTGTAAAGTATCCAACTGTTTTATGATTATATCTATTAGGAAGAGAAACAACGAAATGTTATACATGACATTCCTTTTCTAACGTACATTTTATAGATCGACCATTGTCAGGCAAGTACTAGAGATTAAGTTGTACTGAACAGCTGTTTTATATTAATACAAAACTTCACAGTGGAGAGTACTTACTACCTAACATTTAGGAATTAAATCATGTATCATCACGTCTATTAGGGAATGTATTAACATTAGACAACTTAGAATAATAGTAAAATTTAAGAGTTCTGTCTAGTCCAGTTTAGGGTTCTCTAGCTGAATATACTCGCATCCTAATGCTGTTATTGACATCTGGACTTGAATTGATTACCCTATTCTTTAGACATTAGTGTTGTATTCATAGAACATCTGAATCTAGATTGTCACTTACTTATTGACTAAGAACACTTACTCTGAAATACATGTACATGCGATTGATGAGTTCTGAATGGGACGAAATAGGATCCCTAAACTACACTACTGTTTGCAGTTAGCTTTTCCGAATGATTTATCGCAATGGCTACATTGAAGCAATTCTCACAGGATTTACATATATCAACAAAGCTTAATTAAAATTCGGTCCTAAATATCAACAACAGTATGATTAAAATCTTTGCTAATAGTAGGAATAGACTTTGGTTGTTGATTTAAACTTCAGTTGATTTTCGACAAAGTGAGATCTGATTTCATTATCATTGGTGACGTTGCTCGAATGATCTGTATATTTGAACTCTATGGTTTACTAATTCTTGCAAGGCTTTCAGAAATATTTTTATATTCTAGTTCCTTTTGAAAATAGTATTATGTTTAGAATAAATAGTGTTCACTTCTAAAAACCGAAAAAATTGCAGTATAATTTTATAAGCAAAGATGAATAATAGCTAGCAGCGGAATCCAGGATGTGTGTTTCGTTTTACTTGAGATTCGTCAGCTGGATTTACCTGCGTCTCCGAGTTGATGTTCACTCCGGAACTCGAACTCAATACCTTTCACTTGAAACTCTATTGCGCTGTAAAAATTAGGTACTGAATCCTCATAGCCTCATGCTTGTGCAATAGAATGAAGTTTAAAACCGCTTGATATTCATTTTTGCTTATAAAGCTTGTGACTGAAGACAATATTGAGACAGTCCACACAGGATATACATATGTCAACAAGAGACTGATCTGTTGTAATCTTAAACAACAATGAGACGATTCAAACGAACAATACCAAATGAATTCACACTATAATTGTTTAATCAAAATCCAGTTCATGATATAAACTACAAACTGTAATCGTTGTCCACTTAGCTACCTAATCCTGTTAGCCACCTGCTTGTTCAATGGAATGAAGTTTAAAATCACTTGATATCCATCTTTACTTATAAAGCTTGTGATTTAAGTGAACATCTAGACAATCCTCACAGGATGCACATATGTCAACAAGTGACCGATCATTTACAGACCGAAACAACAATGAGAAAATACAAGCAAAACACATCAAGTGAATTCACACTGTGAACATTCACTGTAATCCCATTACCCTCTCCTCCTCAACCTTCAAAAGAAAATAAAGTTTCTTCACATTACCTTCTTTCATTTTTACTATGGGTTGTTCTGTTTAATGTATATTTACATTTTATACATAAATAATGATCAAACCATTCAATGTATTTACATTTTCTTTGAATATATAATAAACCAAAAATGAATATAAGAATAGTCAATAAGGGAATTACACAACTGACAATTATAATGATGAATTGATGTCTGGTAAATCTATCTAAAATTAAAAACAAAATGATAGAATTGAATATAGAAAGTATAAAACTTTGTTATTCTTACTTATTAATGAGTTGATTTGTAACTAGACCTGAAAACACAGGACGGCCATTTCGTCTTAATGGTCTATTGGTTAAACGCTCGTGCAAGAGACTGATGGATCCTGGGTTCGAATCTTCAGAAATGGGATCGTTGATGCACACTACTGAGGAGTCAACATATAAGGACGAAATGGTCGTCTAGTGATTCCAGATTTTCTATGGTAGTCTAGTTTCAATTAACTCATGAATTCAACATTTGCATTTGTTTAATTTTAAGATTTATGAGTTAAATTTTATTGCTTATATCATCATATTGGTAAGAAATTCATTTAAGAACAGAAAACAATGAATAGAGGTCTCACTCTTAAATGATCTCATCAGGGATCGAACCTAGGACCTTCAGTCTTTATCAAATAAATACATATCTAAATTTTATCATTTTACAAAATAGAGTAATTATTTTCAGAGCTTACTATAAAGTCTCTTCATCATATCAATGAGTCAAAAGTCATTGAGGAGTTTAACAACAGAATTCATCTTTAACTACAGATGTGATGGCATTTACCTCAGACATATGAATGCTTTAGTTGGTTCAAGGGATCAGTCCTCGGTGTCGCTGACTCTCGGTCTGTGGGTAATTGATAGATAAAAAATTCTATAGGTTGATTCCGTGTAATTAACGGGAACAATAGTCGGGGACGCACAGTGAAATAGCGCGCACCCAGATTAAAATAGTTCACAGTCGTTTACCCCTTGTCTCCTTCTGCATTATAAGTTTCAAGATTATCTTGGATCACTGATTCAGCGAAGTCAGTCATTTTTCTCTATTAGTTTCATCAATGGATAAACTTTATTTACTAAAGCTGATATTACTTTGAATACTTCAGTATTCACCGTCATAATTTTATCCATCTGTATTGATGACCTGCTTTAACGTGGATAGATGTATATGTGTACTATGTCCTAAATTACTGATGGCTAACTAACTAGAACCTAATAAATAAGAAGACAAAAAGTTCGATTGCTATGACGTCACCAAGAATTATGTCTAGTAGATCAGTACCAAAGTGAAGTGCTGACTTTTTTAACTGAAATATGATGCAACTTAAAAATAGATGATATTCTCGCTAACAGGATTAAGTATTTTAACAGGATTACTTAAATAAACTTGAAACTTTTCCGACTGGTTCACTGAAACATAGTTCACGAAGCCTATGAAACGTTTCCAAAAGCAGTAAAAGTCATCAGAGCATATGATTTACACATATATTTGAAGAAGACTAGAGTTATATCACGTAACATATGCTTCTTTCTAGATTCCAAAATGTATTTCACACTATAAATTTCGTTATACAAGATGAACTACTTTGATAATCAATAGTAGTTAAATGTTGTAAACAAAAGAATTAGATGACTTACGATTTAAATATAAATTTATCTCATAAGAACTTGATCCCATTAAATTTGAAAATGTACACTGATAAACTCCTTCATCATTTAAATCCAAATTGTTTATCTGTAAAGTGATAATCCAACCTACTGAATATTTTCTGTGAATGATTTTATATTTCGATATAAAATTATGAGTAAGCATAATTGGGAATTGGGAATTTTCAATTGTTGAGTTCATTGTCATTATATTATTATTACTATATAAATCTTCCATCGTAATATATTCACCATTATGTAACCATATTGGATAGGTGAAATTTAGTTCCGGGAAACTGATAACATTGCAGATAAGATTAATTGATTTGCCTAGAATTCCATATACATGTGAATTACTATGTACAAATGGTTTTTCTGTAGATGAGAAGGGATAATTTTACACCCGAAAAAAATATGAAAAAAGTGTTTAGTCATTGAAGAGAAATATTTGAAACTTGTAAATTATATTGAAATGTTTCATACGTTTCATAAATAAACAAAGAAATTCTCAATTCCTTGTTGGACGGCCGTTTCGTCCTAGTATGGGACTACTCAACAGTGTGCGCCCATGATCCCGCCTCGAAAGAATTTGAACCGGTGAACGTCTGTTACGCATGCAAACAAGTTTTATGTAGAACACTGAGCAAACCTGTATTTAACGGTTTTAGTGTCTAACTTCGACCAATTTACGAAATTGTGTGACCATCTTCCATTGTTTAAGGTAGATACCTGTCTATACCTGACATGGATTAGCTGTACTGGTCACAGCTTCTCTTTAGAACTCCGAGAATTCCTTCACGAAGGTAGTCACTAGTGAGCACATGAGTAAATCTCTGATGCAATTAAAATGTCTATATTTCTGAACAGAGAAAGATTCACAGCAGTGATAACATAAAGTGTAATTACACTGTGGGATAGCGCAAATGACATCTAATAGCTGTGTCTAATGTTAACAATAGTTTACTAACAAAAAAAATAAAACTAAGAGTACATAAATATAAAGACTGTTATCTTTAACAAAACTAGAAATAACATTAGCAATGGTTGAGAGTAAGTTATTACAACAATAAATATTATAAACGCCAACGTTTCTCTCGGAAAAAATGTTTCAGGAAATGTGAATACAATTCAGTAACCACTAGATTCGATACCATCAACGTTCGACTTCACACATCAAAACCAACGTTCCGAGTTCTCAAATATCTTAAACATGATTAGAGAAATATTTCTGTCTACTGAATGAAATCTATAGATTTTAACTCAATGACACAGAGAAGTAAATTAGTCGATTTTATATCTCTGACTACTGATTAACTAACAGACAAAGAAGAAATCACTGTTGAATACAAACTGACTTTTGCTACTTTCCACAATTATATCACTGACTGGGAATGATGATAAGGATAATGATGCGTAGATGTGTAGTGAAATCCATCAACTTCTGAAGAGATGTAAAACATATTTTAGCGTGTTTTCTAGCTGATTCATGCAAATCTGTGTGCTCATGTGTCCTTATGAAGATAGCAATCAATAAACCACGAACATTTGATGTAGATGACAAACATTTTGTCGGTTATTTGCACAAAATAAAAATATTCTTTACTGTAACTGATAATTCAGTTATGGAGTTCTAGTGACAAGTAGTAACCAGTGAAGTTTAACCGGGTCTATGGTGAGATAGTAACTCACTGAAGACAATGGTAGATGTATCACTCAATTTTTTGGATTAGTTAAAGTTAGACATTAACACCGTTAGATGCCAGCTCAAAGGAGTAATGCTTAAGTGCTCGCGCGCGAGATTGATAGGTCTTTGGTTTGAATCTCACAAGACGAGATCGTGGATGCACACTGCTGAGAAGTCTCACAATGGGACGAAACGGTCGTCCAGTGCTTCCAGGTTTTGTATGGTGGTCTAGCTTCAATTGACTCATGATTTCAACTATTGAAATTTCACATGTATTAGTTGTTTGAACTTTGCCATCAATGTTTAGAACTATGATTGATCAATTCCTGACGATATATGTGCATTCTGTCGAAAGTGCCAATATTCAGGCACAAACTAGTGGTTATCTGGATTCAGTGCCTAAGAGGTTAGATAATACGATGGTATTTGAAGTGAACGAAATGAAATACAAGTTCTGGAGTGTATACCAATTTCTGAAATATGGCAGGTACATCCAGCTAACAAGTCACAAATACGAATAAACACTCATCCTGGATTTCACTTCTTTACACATAATACTTGTAAATGAAAGCACTAACGAGAAAGTCCGTACAAGATGCACATATGCTAATATGAGACTGATCAATTGCAGTTGTAAACCACATACACCTACCTGCTTGAATAATAAATCTATTTGCTGACTGACTATCAAATCCCACTGAACTAGCTATACATGTGAATTTCCATAAATCAATATGAAAATTAACATTTTTCAGCTTCATAGAATCATCTATATCAAGATGATTTTCATGATCTTTAGAATATTGTTTATCAATAATCCATAAATTCGTTGAATTCATTGTGATTATTTCTAATAAAGATTGTAGTTGATTCAAGTTCAATTGTAAATTAGAACCATTTGATAAATATACTTGAGTATAATTTGATTTCCATGTAAACCATTCAATTTGACCAGATGGATTAAAATCTGTTTGACACTAATATGAAATAAAAGAAGAAAAGAATTTGTAGATTAGAAAAAGGTCCACCCTAAACATGCACATCCCGCTTTATCTGTCTACGGCGGTAAGATTCCAATAAGTACGGAGATAACATGAAAATTACTCATTAAACGGTTGTATGTAACCGACCTTAAGCAGTTATGTCTTGGGTATTGGAGTCGTGCTTTTAGGTCACTATGACCATCCCTAAACTAATTTTCTATTTAGTGACCTTGAGAAGAACCCTTCCATGGTATGGGCAACCGGGAAGTGATAACTACCCTCTTATCTCTAACAGCACACAAGATCACTAGATATCATTATCATGGTTTGAATTGATAATTTTAAATAAATTAAACACTGGATAGATTATAATCAGGAAGGGGTTTTGCGGAGATCATAGTAACCTAAAGACTGAATTCATGAGTCGATTGAAGCTAGGCTACCATGAATAATCTGGAAGCACTGGACATTTGTTTTGTCCTAGTGTGGGACTCCTCAGCAGTGAACATACACGATCTCGCCCGTGAGATTCGAACTCAAGAGTTCCATACAAGGATAAAACGGCCGTCCAGGGCTTTCAGGATTTCCATGGTAGTCTAGCTTCAATTCACTCATGAGTTCAATTATTTAATTACTGGATAGATTGTTATATATAACAATAATATATCTCAGTGAGCAAAAGAATCACATATTCTGATGTTTCGTGACTCAGTGAAAGTCACTTCTTCAGAGAATAAATAACCAAGTCAAAATCAATCCAAGTTTAAATAATACACGTGAACAAAGAATGAATAATTGGTTAGATCAATTAGAAAAAACAGGTCAAGTCAATGTCATATGATTTCGATCAGGATGATTTATGTACGACATGTATGTAGATCTGTATGTACATAGATATGCAGGGTCAGAGAAGAAAAATTGTGATCTATGTGGTGAGAAAGTATAGATTTTAATTTGTATGTATGATAATAGTGTGAAATGTGAAGCATATCAAATATCATAGCAAGGATATTGATTTGGTGGTTGTTGAAAATGTCATGGTCGATCGTACCTAATATTCTTGTTTTGCTCCTATGTACTATTTAAATTTGGATCAATTTCGGTTTACTTATTTATTCTCTGAAGAAGCGGCTTACACTGTGTGACGAAACATCAGAATATCTAATTTTTCTACTCATATTATTTTCACGAAGTTGCTCCACCGTACACCAGTGACTGCAGTGAGCTGAAATCTCACAACAGACCTGGTTGAACTCCACTGGTAACGGCTTCCCACTAGAACTCCAGGAGTATCTCTTGAAGTCAGTCACTAGTGAGCAGATGATTATTATTATCAGAAGGTACTGTGTGGAGGTTTTTGAAATTTCACTGGTTTAAATCATGAGTCAATTAAAGCTAGACCACCTTGGAAAACCTGGATGCACTGGACAACCGTTTCGTCCTACTATGGGACTCCTCAACTCCACAACTTCGTGGATTGGTTGAAGTTAGACATTAACAGCGTTGGATGCCAGCCGGCTCAGTGGTCTAGTTGGTTTAGCGCCTGGCACGAGACTGACAGGTCCTGAGTTCGAATCTCGTGGATAGCGGGATCGTGGATGCGCACTGCTGAGGAGTTCAACAATAAGACGAAAGGTCTATCCAGTGCTTCCAGGTTTTCCATGGTGGTCTAGCTTCAATTGACTCATAATTTCAAACAGTGTAATTTCAAAAATCTCCACACAACCCCTTCTGATCATATTATTTTCATTTGAAAACAGAATTGTTGAAATGAGTTCATAAATGATAAATGAATCATTTTCTTATGTATTGACTAGTATTCCCGTTTAGATATTTACGTGAGATGCAATGCTTGTTCAAGGGACTTTTAAGTTATATCAAATGAAATGTATGTCATGAATACATATACATAATCCTGATGTAACAGATAACATATTGGAACCTCCATGAATTAATGATGTATTTTGTTAATGATGACTAAGTATGAAAAACACTTTGATGTATGACAGTAATCCAAATGAATCTTTTGTAACTCCACTGAATTATGACGACGAATGAAATGATTCAGATCATAGAAATTGATCAATATTTAAAAATATCATCTATAAACACCTAAACGGAACATCATTGATGTTTACATCTAGAAAACATGTTGAACAATCATTGAAATGTTTATTCAAGGTGATAGGAGAATTGTATCCAATCACTATACACCCTAACTTAGCTTATATTTTTTTATACAATTAGCAATTATGGGTGATTATAATCTTATGTATTTCATGAAATGTTTTGATTAACAGCCGTTGTTAACTCGACCAAGCGTTTCAGTATGGAATGAGAAGAAGAATACCATGATGGATGGTAAGGGCGACTATCAACTATGTATGGATGAAAATATTGATTATCTATATTCTTTTGAGTTCTACAGTAGGCAAATTATTATTTAGATAATAAATGAGGCTTTGAAACTTGAAAAATGATCTGTACTAACTATTCTAAAACCTTTTTGTAAGAATGATGTAACGGTGGATGGTTGAGTATTGACAACATTCATCAGTATTTAGAACAATAAGGACTGTATTTTTACATATCGATGGTATGTTGAATGAGGCATAGTTGATTCAACTTGAGATTTATAAGATGAATTACTTTGAACCTTTATTTGCTTAATTATTGAGCAAACTACCATAACAATCATTCTATTTTTAAATTATTCACAGAATATTGTAACTAAAGTTAGTGTTTCTAAAGTGATTTTAATTGAGTTTCAATGCATTTTTTAAATGATTCAACTTAAAAAGTGACTGTAAGGACGTCCCACGGGTGAACGTCAAGATGCTCTAAGAAGTTTAGAAAGACTCGAAGACATTCCTCCCAATCATCTTTTGAAAGAACCTTCCAGAATCTCTGTGTGTAGCTTCCATATTGAGTAAATGTCTCAAATTGCTGGATGTGGATTGAATGACTAAAATGATGATTTCGCTTTTACTAAAAACTATAAATACCTGAAAGTTTTGTATTATATTGACATTGTTTGGAATAGGATTCTTTCTCACTCGTCTTCTGTTTTCTCATTTGCGACACGGAGGGTTCCAGCGTTAGAGTGCTCAAGTTTTACGCGATATATCAAGAATCTAAGCTTTAGACGCAACAGTGATAAATCAAACCACGTCAACTAAGATTCTCTTTAATGCGTAGTAAAACCATTTTAGAAATTGATATTGGATTATAGTTGAGCTGTTGACTGAACTTGGAATTTTACCACTGAACACCGAACCAGTAATTATAGTGATTAAGAGCTGGTTACAAGAATCTATGGTTCAGGGTTTAATCCCTGGTATGTCCATAAGTGTTTATTAATAAAGAGTTGTGTACTATGAATGGATGACCTTTCAATGCTACTTGATCTTAGACTAATCCTTGGCAATACAACTCATAGATAGAACTAATCAACGCAAAATCATTTCAACATACTTACTTACGCCTGTTACTCCCAATGGAGCATAGGCCATCGACCAGCATTCTTTAACCCACTCTGCCCTGGACCTTCCTTTTCAGTCTGCATTTCTTCCTCTTTTCATTTGACCTACAGGATTCCATATGAGGGATTGCATTGTGACACGGTTGGGTGATTTCCTCAACGTGTGTCCTATCCACTTCCAGCGCTTCTTCGTGATTTCTTCCTCCACTGGAATCTGGTTTGTTCTCTCCCACAGAATTTGTTGCTAATAGTGTCTGTCCAAAGTATCCGAAGTATTTTGCGTAGGCAACTGTTGATAAACACTTGTATCTTCTAGATGATGGCTTTCGCAATTCTCCAAGTTTTCGCCCCATACAGTAGGACTCCTTGGACATTTGTATTGAAAATTCTGACCTTGGTATTGGTTGACAGTTGTTTTGACTTCCAGATGTTCTTCAGTTGTATATATGCCGCACTTGCTTTGAAACTCCTCGCCTTTACATCTGCATCAGCTCCATCGTGGTCACCAATCATGCTTCCGGGATTTGTAAAGGTTTCTACATCTTACAAGGCTTCTTCGTGAAGTGTGATAAGATTGGTGCATATCATGTTGTATCGGAGAATCTTGCTTTTCCCTTTGTGTATGTTGAGAACTACTGATGCTGAGACTGCTGCTACACTGGTTGTCTTCTCCTGCATTTGCTGTTGCGTGTGCGATAGGAGAGCCAGATCTTTGGTGAAGTCCAGATCGTCCAGCCGCATCCTAGCTGTCCACTGTATCCCATGCTTCTCCACAGATGCTGAAGTCTTCATAATCCAGTCGATGACCAGGAGAAAGAGAAAGGCTGAGAGTAAGCAACCTTGCCTGACACCGGCCTTTACCTCGAACGAGTCTGTCAGCTGTCCTCAATTCACGATTTTGCAGTTTAATCCCTCATAGGAATTCCGTATGATATTGATCATCTTCTCAGGTACGCTGTAGTGTTGAAGATGCTTCCATAGTGTTGTCCTGTCTACTCTAGCAAATACTTTCTCGCAGTCGATGAAATTAATGTAGAGTGATGAATCCCATTCAATCATTTCAACTAAGCTAATATTAACAAGAAACCTTTAATTTTCTACACTTCACTTACCCATAATGTTATCTCTTGTGTTATATACAGATGATCTGTAGATTTCGTCCAACAGAGCATTTCCAATTCCTTTCCAAATATTGAACAAGGGTACAATATATAAATCTCATTTTCTCGATTATCTATATTTGGTCCATCTATAACAGAAGATTAAAATGTATACAATTTAAACAATAAGTTCTGGGTTCGAATCTCACGAGGTGGAATCGTGGATGCGCACTACTGTGGAGTCCCACAATGGGACGAAATGACCGTCCAATGCTTCCAGGTTTTCAAAGGTAATTTAACATCAATCGATTCATAATTTAAGTCAAAAACTTAATAATCTCCACAACCCTATACTGATCATGTCGAATAATTTACCTCCCAGCTTGTTTAACTGTTTTATTTTAAGTACATGAATGAATTATACACGAATTAAATAATCATAGGATAACTGATGTTTAATCTAATAGAAAGTTAAAACACTATTATTTCAGTATTACTTATGCTTTACACAAACCCTAACAGTCCAGGGCTTAAACTGATATCGAGGTCATGGATATAAACTACTGATGAATCCTAGAACAGGACGAAGAAGCTGTTTAGTAATTATTAATACTCAAAAGTTATCTAGTTGACATCAATTCATCATGTACATCTTTTATTCTGAGTAAATCTAATCTCGAGAAATCTCCAAATTTGGCATCATATATAGAAAATATGGAATGCTGCTTGTAGCGGATTCAATGACGTACGTTTCATTCAAACTAAGATTTATCAACTGGAAGTAGATCCATGGTTAATTTGATGTTTACATATACTAATGAAAGTTGATCAAATTTCAGTCAAAATAATCAACAACAGGATAATTCAAACCATTCTAAGTTAAATCCAACATCCTAATTATAAACACAATTTGCATTTTGACTTACAATAAATATTTAAATCAATATAACCCATTGAAGAAATCATTACGGGATCATTCACTGAATCATTTCCTATATCATCATTAACATTATAAATTTGGTTACTCCAGCTTCTCAATGATACCTTAGATGATACATCAGACATTATGGAATCAATTGTATTGATTGTATCGTTTTTCATTCTAATCGATATTTGACAATAGATTCTTCCTCGATGAAATTTTCGATGTGGTACAAATTCTATGATGTGATCTTTTAATTGATGATGTAATCTAAGTAATTTTGAAGGAATTCCAAATGATAAAACAATCTTATGATAATCACTATTAATTTGATCAATAGTCGATAATGAACTTATATTGACTAATGTATCATTATGATTAATATGATCCGATAGTTGAATAAAAAATCTGTAATTACAAAATAACCGGTGAAAAAGACACATAACAGATTGAAAGATTTAAATCAAGTGCTTAGTGTATAGATAAGAAAAACAATATAGTCTTGTTTGTTAAACTCATCTCCAATCGATAGCATATTGAAAAGTTGAGAGATAGTAACTCACTGATAACAATGGTGGATAGTGGCACAACTTCGTGAATTGGTTGAAGTTAGATATTAACACCGTTGGATGCTAGCCGGCTAGCTCAGTGATCTTGAGGTTAAGCGCTCGCGCGTGAGAATGATAGGTCTCAGGTTCAAATCTCGTGTGGCCGAATCGTAGATGCTTACTGCTGATGAGCCACACAATAGGACGAAATGGCCGTCCAGTGCTTTCAGGTTTTTCATGGTGGTCTAGCTTCAATTGAATCATGATCTCAACTATTAAAATTACTATTATATTCACAAAACCCCCTTCTGATATTAATTAACATATGCTCACTATTGACTGGCTTCCTGAGGTATTTCCTGGAGTTGTAATGGGTAACAGTGATCAGTCGAGTTCAAATGGTTATGTTGTGAGATAGTAACTCACTGAAGACTTAGTAAAATAGAAAAACCATACTGTAATACTAAATGTGTAAAATATTCATTAATTGTCCCAGAATTCGTTGTTTCTGCATAATGAATTATATAGTTGAAATCATGAGTCAATTGAAGCTAAACCACCGTGGAAAACCTGAAATCACTCAACGGCCGTTTCGTCCTGTTGTGTGGCTCCTCAGCAGTGAGCATCCGCGATCCCGAGATTCGGACCCAGGACCTATCACTTTCGTAAGCGAGCGCTTAACCCCAAGACCACTAGACTGGCCGGAATCCAACGGTGTTAATGTCTAACTTCAAATAATCCACGAAGCGGCGACACCGTACACGATTGTCTTCAGTGAGTTGATATCTCACAACAGACGTTGTTGAACACCACTGGTAATGGCTTCTCACTAAAACTTCAGGAAATATCTCTTGAGGTCTGTTACTAAAGAGCAGAGCCAACCCAGTGGTCTAATGGTTAAGCACTCACGCGTGAGACTGATAAATCCTGGGTTCGAATGTCGCGGGGGGCGGGATAGTGGATGCGCACTGCTGAGTAGTCCCATACTAAGACGAACCGACCGTCCAGCGCTTCCAGGTTTGCAATGTTGATCTGACTTCAATTGACTCATGATTTCAACTATTGAAATTTCTACAAATCTCCACAAAATCTTTTCTGATAATAATAACTTCTGTCAATTTTCTACTACTTATATTATCTTCATCAGTAGTAATGATATTGACAAGAAACAATAATAGATCATTTATAACTTACGTGTATTCATAATTTGCATGAATAGGTACATTAGTCTTTTTACAAAAACATCCAAGTTGAATTGGTCGATTCTCTATGAATACCATTGAATGTTCAATAGATGAATTAAACATTGTTTTTGCATTTGAATCGATTTTTATATACACTTTATCAATATCTGTAATAAAAGGGAACTCCAACATGAATAGAATTAAACAAACTAGGAAAATCAATCGTTTTCTTTCTAATTACTGATAATAAACAAACTATTTATGAGATTCTAGTCAAATTTTCAAACGATCTTATACTTCCAAACATATATATCTGGTTACAAAATAGTTTCTTTCTTTATAAGCTTTTGCGAATCTATTTATTGAAATGTTTGTGGAATATCACTGTAATCTGTCTGCTCTCAAATTCGATTTCCCGATAGTCATATATGATTGTTTATTGTTGTCCATTACCTTCTTTATTTAATGTAAGTACAGTGTTTTTGTGGCCCGTGATCTGACTCCAATTTGATCGTAATGATTGGTTGCTATCGTCTATCCTCGTATATAATCATTGAATTAAACCGCGTTAGTTAATAACGGAATTAAATAAGTCAAATAACGAGAATGGAGTTTTGAATGCATATATTTCGTATAATTGTTGATTAGACAAACGAACGGAGGAACGATGCGAAGATTAGAAAGCCAAGCTAAGTTGGCGCGCGGTGGAGATGGCTGGTAAGCCAACTCCCATTTAACAAAGAGTTAATCAATATTTATAAGCCCACAAAAATAAATTACAGACATGTGATGAGTAACGGGATAAGAAGTGTGCATACGCCTACGCGCTCATATAAAGACAGTCAAGACATTGATAAGCGAATAATTAACAAGGTCAGAATGTGACTCAAATAGAATGAATAGAATGGGCTGTCCGAAAGTTAGAATAATGAGGTATTTGGGCTTAACATAATGACAGACACTACAGTGTATTCTCTATCAAATCAACCTTTATTTCGTTATTCTATTTTACAGCTCTCTACATTAACACTATTGTATATGCTCCCATAGAGCATAAAGTATCTTCTAACTAGAACTTACACGACGAAAATCGATCAAATACTTTTCTACATCTTCATTATATGTAGGAACATGAAGCAACTACCATAAAATTGATACATTGAGTACATTTAGAGATGAAAAAGCTATTTCATAGAAGCATTAATGATTGTAACTCTACCTGGAGCACTTCTGGGGCTACTGCCAATCCCAAGCCCGGATAAGGGAGGAGAGTTGGGCGTGGGGTTATTCATCTCATCCTGTAGAAAATTAACTCGCTAAAAAGCGCTAACCATAAAAAATCATTAAAACCATTTAAAATGTGCCCTGGTAGTCTGAAGGTCTTCATTTAGAAGAGCTATGACTCCTCATAGTGAATGCCGAGTTCCTTCGGAAGCCACGAGGCTGATGCTCGTTCTGACAACCAGAGCAACCATTTATTTAGGTACACAGAATGCTCGTACAATGTGAGAGACCAGGAAAGTCTTCCAAATTGCTGCAGAATCAATGGTTGTAAACATTTGTAAATGCGCATGAATGACAAAAAATCATTATTTACAAATTTAAATGATTATGAAGCGAGGATTTCATCATAATCTATTCTGAGGATTCCTAACTGTCATCAAGTAAATGATATTGAAACTAGCTAGTGTCATTATTATCACTATTACTACTAAAATGAGTAATCCATATTGAAATTTGTTTAAAAGGTATCAAAAAATGAATTTGATAATTAAGGAGAATGCATAAAGTACACTATAAAGTACACTATTGTAAAGTAGTTGTCTTTGTATAATGCTGAGACCAATTTTGTTCGACAATTTATCATGCCATTGTCAAATGTGACTCTGTTATAACTTGTGGCCTGTATGCCTTGGTAATGAATAACGTGATGATACCGCCAATGAGAGAGCAGTGAATTATCGATCGGAATAATGACGCATAAAATACGTACGAGCAATCTAGAGTACTTATCGGCCCTGTTTCCTACCTAGCCCAGTCAGTTAAGTCCACAACATCAATCTCAGCCTCTGCAATATCAATCCTTTATTTCAAACATACTGAGTTTATATACCAACCAGATAGACCCCATAATACCATTAAACAACATTTGTACAAAATTTAGCCAAGTGTGGTGGTGAATAAGGGTGATAATAATTATTAGACTGGGTATAACTCAAGAATCGTAAGTCGTATAATAATAGTTCATAAATCAAAATAAAGCCGATAGTAAAAAAGACATGAATATGAATAATTTAGTTACTTAACAATTATACGAAAAAAGTATACGCATATTATTGGTCCATAAATGGATCTCAAAAGTTACCATTCATTATGCTCATCAATATATAACAGACTTTTATCACAATTCAAATAAATAGTTCGAGATTTCATTGGAAACTTGAATAGAGAAGAAAAAGAAGAAGAAGAAGAGAAGCAGATTTTACGAATGAGGATAATAATTGTTTTTGCTGATCTTCAGTAAAAGACTAAACTTATGTAAAAACAGGAAAGAGATAGGAATTGGAGGAAGTATAACGTTTTGCAATTGATTGATCGCTGCGTAGTGGCCAGTGTCATATATGTCAACTCCTGCTTATAGCGGATAGAAGTTTATTGATCAATTTACAATGTGGCCACTAGTCTAAGAGATTAAATATTGCATGTATCATTTTGAGATGTAAAGTGATGGTTAAAGGTAGTCGATAGGAAATCCTGGACAATTGTTTCGTTCTATTTGGCACTCGTCTATATGGTGTATCAATAATTTTGAAGGAACAGATGCTCCCTGAATAATTAAATCCGTATCATCCAGTTTTGCATTTAGAGACGTTATCCCTGAGCTACCAGGGCTGCGACCAACCTCCTGTAAATATTTAGTGGTGACGTGACCTCTTGAATTTGGTCGTATGATTTATGTTTATCGATTGAGTGGGCTGCATTGAGTTCGTTCGTGGAACGTATGAAATGCGCAAGCTTCTTGATCGACGTAGTTTGAATTGTTAAGTTCGTCTTCGGGTTCGTCACTTTAGTGTGGTCCTTTATTTTGACACTAATTAGATTGCACGATGATGTTTTTGACAGGCTCACCACTTTTAGTGACCCCATACCTTACTTCAATTGGATCGTGCGCTGATTGTTGTTGAAATATACATCCCTGCTACCCTCGTATATAAATATAGATTTAAATCGCGTTAATGAATGACGGGATTAAATAAGTCAAACACGAGAACAAATTCCGATTACGTATATTTTGTAAAAACATTGTTCTGGACAGACAATCAGGGAAACGAAGCAAGCAGGAAAGAGTGAAGTGAAATGAAGTGACGCGCAGTGGAGAAGGCAAGTGAGCCAACTAGATTTAAATAAGCGTGACTCGATATTTATGGCTAAACAAAAATAACATACAGACACATGATGAACAAGGTAAGTAAATAACATACATATCATCATGTAGAAAAACAATCAGGTTTGTTAAGAAAATAAGTGACAGGGTTGAAATGTGTCTTGTGAAGAATGAACAAAGTGGTCAGTCCAGAGACTAGAATGACCTATGTGGGATCGACATAGTACCAGTCCCTTCAAATATACACCAGTCCTACAGGAGGTCAGTTACGACTCTGGTACCTCAATGATAATTTTCCTTAGTGCGAAGCTGGATGATACGGATCGAATCTGTCAAGGAACATCAGTTTCCTCAAGATTATTGATACACATTATGAACGTGTGCCAAATAGAACGAAACAATTGTCCAGGATTTCCTATCTACTAGCTTCAGCCACCACCTTAAAACTTTGTTAACTAAACATGCTGGTTGTGGCATTTCACTCTCATGATACCTTTAAACCGTGTTCACACGGGAAGTTTTAATTAATGAACGATGGACAGTGTTGGTCAGTTAAGGTTATTTGAATCAAACCATTGATTGATGTTAACAATCTCTACAAAAAATATGTGCACAGGGAGATCATTTTTAACTTGTTTACTTACAAATTTATATTTTGATCATCACATCTTTCCCTCTTATATCAAGCCATACAATTCTGTGAGCCTTTGTACAGTGTTGAACAATCGTATCCCAACCAGAAACTTCGTCGCACATACAATTATAACGAGGTATCAATAACGGTGAATATGGAAGTAATCTTTCTGTTTTATCGTTTATCGATGAATAAATATTTTTACTCTGTTTTATTAACTACTCGTATGGATAAGATTTATAAATCATTCACCAACATGCGGAATTAATGTCTCATAATAATGTTTATTTTTCACCTATCATATCAGTTAGAAATCAAGTTTTCATAACCAATCTATTTTTAACTACTGAAATAAAAATAAGTAGTTTAAAGTCAATTGATTGAAATGTTAAGCTTAATGTTGATGAAACTGCCAGGAATTCAATGAGTATTCATTGTGTTTCTGGTTTATATTGGTTTGTCAAATGACATTGATTACTTAAAAAAACATTTGCAAACTGGCCATTCCTATGAAATCAATAATGACTAGAAAAACTTGAGGTTTAAGTGTTTGTAATTTGAAATCTATGCACAATTGAACAGAAAACGTTTACTGAAACTGAAAGTTATTCTTACTCTTAAAGTTTACTTTACCAGATGTCAGTAACCCAAACTTGATGAATTTTACTTGAACATTACTAAACATACGTTTACAGCATTATTACTATTATCTGGATATGTTTTAATAATGTGATGATATAACCATATTGTCTATACTCTACTCGTACTACCACTGAATACAATATCTTTTGAACGAGTTACAAATCGACTGGTCACCGAAATATTGCGTTATCTCTCATTCGGTGTTTAAATAAATTAAGATCTGGTTTGTATCTTGGTTGAACAGGACTTCTTTCAGTCAGAGATTTTTTGAATGATGAGAAAACTCTTGGTAGTTATAATTATCAGTCCATAAGTAATGAAAACAAATTAAAAATCTTGTTATGACAATAATTGACTTAACTACTCTAAGTTTTTTCAACATCTTTTGGGAATTAATACTACTGTTTGCTTAAAGATTACATATATCTCTGATATATCTATAGTGGTATTATGCTAAATAAATTGTTTAATAATAAGTAATGACTACAGTGTAATACCACAATTATCCCCGATATTAAGAATCTTGGGTCTGGTTGTATCTGTCCATGGTTATTGGAAACTAGATCTC